CCTGGGGGAGAGCTACTCCTTTCCCACCTAAGGCTGACCTGTGATGACTGCCAGTGTGACAGTGGCACTGAGCTGCTGTCCCTGAAGACAGATGTGGCAGGTGTAGGTCCCAGCCTGGGCCTGGCTCACATCCTCTAGTTGAAGGGTAAAGTTGCCATTGTCTCCAGGCACCAGGAGGTCAGGGCCCCCTCCAGGAGGAGCCCACTTGGCAGTGAGGAAAGGCTGGGTCCCCACACCAGGAGGCAGGCGGCAGGGCAGCTCCACCCTGGAACCTGCTCCAGCGTACACTGTCAAGGGAGTTGGGGGCTCCAGACCTGAAGAGAAAAGAAAACCCAAAGTTAAAGCTGGGGGCTGCAATGGGGAGGGAGTGCTGGGGCTACGAGGAAGGGAGGCAGAAGAGTACAGGAGATAGTCTGGCTCATAAGAGTGCTAAGGAGCAGCATAAGGTGATGACCCGAGGTTGGTCAGAAACCCAGCAAGTGGGCTTAGCCAGAAGGAGTGAGAAAGCTGGCAATGACGCTGGAAGGCCAAGGGGGATGCTAAAAGGGGTGACGGCAGCTGTTAGGCTGCCACGAAAGATAAAGGGTTGAACATGAGGCCCACAGCAATGACGTGGGCCACTGCCAAGAACCTGGTTTAGGGACCCATAAGTCAGGGGAGGTGACAAGGGGGGCAGGAAGGGGTTGTGGTCAAGTGTGAAGCAGAGTGGGGTAGTTACCCAGAACAGTGAGGTTGTACACGATGGAGACATTGAAGCCATCTCTGTAGGTGAGGGTGCAGCCCCAGGGCCCAGAGTCCATGAGGCTGACTTGGGGCAGGAAGAGGAAGCTTTCGGCTAAGTGGTGATGGGGGGACTCCTGGACAGGGACTCGGCCCTGGCCCCCACCCCGGAACCATTGCACAGAGGCTGGGCGGTCGGGGCGGCTGAAGGAACAATTCAAAATGACCCAGTCGGAGGTCCTGAGAGACCCTGCGGGGCTGGCAGTCACTGTGCAAGGGTAAAGAAGACTTGATCAGCACACCGGAAACAAGATCCCCGCACACAGGACTGCCAAGCTAGAAGCTTGGAGAAACAGGGACCTGGCTTTAGACCTGGCTTTTCTTCCCTATCACCCTCTCCCCAGCTCAGCTCCCAGCATCTAGAGGTGCATGAACTGGACCTTTCCCCTGTCCCCCTGTCCCTCGTCCCCTGCCTGGAGTTTACTTGGCAGAGGCCACCCTTGCGGTTCTCCCGGCCTGGATCCCCTCGAAGCCCACCCTCTGAGCTACAGATGTCTAAAATGAATCACTCCAGACCGACGCTCTCCCCCTCCCCCTCCCTCAGGGCACTCCCGCGTGGGTGGGAGAAGGTGAGCTCAGGGGGTGACACAATCTCTCCACAGGGCCCCCCCATACACGTGCTTGGGGGGCGCCTTCCACTCCAGCAGGCCTCCCCCACCCCCTTCCTCTACTCTTCTGAAAGCTCTCCTTCATGGCTTAGGGCGCGCAGCCTCTACCCCAGCCCTTCCTGCCTCCCGGGCGGCGGGGAATGGGGGCCCCCTTCACAGCTCCTCTCCGGTCGTCCCGCCCCACCTACTCGAGGCCTGGCCCACGCGCAGACGGAGGTGGCAGGAGAGGGTGCGGTCCCTGAGGTGCACCGCGGCGCGGTACTCGCCGGCGTCAGCGCGCCTGGCTGGGCGCAGCCACAGTGAGAAGTCCCCGCGCTGCCGGCCGCGCTCCTCCAGCTGGACCCGGGGCTGCAGGGGCAGCCTCCCGCTGCGCAGGCCTCCGGGAGCCACGCTCAGCACCGTGTAGCGGCGGGGCCCGGGCCTCGAAGAGGAGGGCGCCGCTGCGCGGGGGCCGGGGGCCGGGGGATGGCCGGGGACTGGAGCGGGCGGGCCACTGGGCAGGAAAAAGAATAGAGTTGAGAAGCTCCAGGGGTTGGAAGCCCCGGAGGGTGCAGGTAGCCAGGGGAAGAGGATGAGGAAAACCGTCCCAAGAGTTCTCTTGACCACCAACCGTCCCTTCACCCCCGACCCCTCTGTGGGACTGGCACCATCCCCTTCCGGAGAGAAGGAATGCAGGCGTGAGGGGCGCTGATTGCAGGACAAGGGCAGGAACGGTGCGGGCGAGGGCAGGGAGACTGGGTCACTGGCTTCAAAGGGAGCAGCATCTCAGGGCAGGGGAAAGAGAACCGGCATGGGTGTTGGGTTGTGAGTGCTGGATTCAGGGGTCCTGTTGCCCAAGTTTGGGGTGCATACCTGTCTGGTTGATGCTGCCAAGTGACCCCTCCTCTTCGAAGAAGGCTGAGATCCTGGAGGGGGATTGTGGGGCTGCAGGGGAGCTGGGCAGGAGCCCCCTCCTGGGCCCACACCTCCGAGACCTCAGCCCCTGGCTGAGGAGGCTTCACTACGTGAGCAAAAGAGAGGCCAAGGGGAAGGGGCATGAGCCGAGAGGCAGGGGGAGAGAAGGAGCCTGAGTGTTTCCCGGGGGGAGAAACAGGGTGCAGGAAAAGCTTGGGTTTCCCTATCTTCTCTGTCAAGAGAGGCTTTGGGGGTGGTAGGACTGCCCAAGAAAAGGATTAGAAGAGTCCACCACAGACCTAAAGACCGCAGGACCTTTGTGGCCACAGAGATCCCCGAGGGTCCCCTCCTGTGGGGCTGGAGGTCAACCCTCCCGCCATCCCTGTTTTCCACTTTACCTGGAGCCACCCACAGTGGCTGCAGAAACAGCAAGCCCAGGAACTGAGTCTCCCACATCTCTCCTATGGCCTGGGCAGCGCTGAGCCCTCCAAACGGAGGTCCGAAAAGGAAGGGGGTGTCGGGGCGTGGGCAAAGGAGAAGTTCTGCAGAGAGGGAGGTGGAGGAAGGCAATCTAGAGGAAGACCGGGAGGGGGCCTTGGAGAGAGGATGACCTGAGGCCAGAAGCCAGGGAAAGCTGGGCAGATCAGGCCGCCTGAGGGGAAGTTGGGGTCCCAGGGAACGGGGCAGGGCTGTGGCAGAGAGCAGAGAGAGCAAGGTGGCTGTCGCGGCTGGGATGCTGTTTTGCTGGTCCCCCGGCCTTCACCCCTGTCCCCAGCTTTCCCTCCACCTTCCCCACTTCCCCTCCTCCTGGCCCGCCCCCCTGCACCCCAAGGCTCACGGTTTCACTTCGCAGTGGAAAGTCTGAGGGGGTTGATTCCCAGCAGCATTACCCTCCACTTCTGTGGTGGCACTCCCCTTGTTTACTTCCTCAGTCCTGGGTCTCCCCACCTTCCCCTCATCGCCCCTGCCCTACCCTCCAGACTGCTCCCTCTCCCAGGGACCATCTGCCTCCAAGCAGTGTTTCTCCCTGGGACTGCCCCCTTGCCCATCTCTAAGCTGCCTCCTCAGCCCCAATATTCACACTTCCTTCTTGGCAAGCTCTTTCCTTGGTGCATCATCTCCTCCCTCTTTCCCTTAACCTCCAAGAATTTCATGACCCTTTAGATCCGCCTTTCCACCATCGGTACAATGGCTCCTGGGAATACGGTGGACAGGAAGCTTTACTGCACCCTAAAAGATGGTAGGTCTGAGGCTGGGCATGCCAGCTTTGTGGGGTGTGGAGAATAACTACATTGTATTGAGCCTTCATTATGTGCTAAGCACTGTATTGGACACTTTACTTACAGTAATTCAAGAAATCTAGTATTTTCCTCCATTGTACAGATGAGGAAACTGAGACTCAAAGAGATTGAACAATTTGCCAAGGTTAGGGAGTGTGAAAATAAAAGCTGTGAGTGTACGTGTATGTATGAGGGTGTGCAGTCCTGACCTTGGATGGGTTACGGGTTTCTCCTGGGAAGATCATTTTGATGAGTCAACATCCCTCCCGACTCCAGCTCAGACCCCCATGCACTCAGAAGCATCTCCCAATCCAGACATTCCAAACTGAGAGGACAAGGGTCATGTGGAGATGGAAAAATGCAGAAATCTTAGAAATCTCCAAGATCAAACTCGGAGGAAACAGAGGCAGTGGGACTAGGGAAGGCCTGACATTGACAAGTGTCAAACTCCTGCTCCCTAGCCCAGCCCAGGGAGACTTGGAGGGCAGGTGAAGAAACTTATAGCTGACCTGGGAATGACATGAAGTCCAGGATTTCCCTGCTTCACTGGAAGGAGCTCGCTTCCGTGCCAGCCAGAGGGCATCTTTGATGCCTGGAAGCTCGCTCCAGATCCTAGGAGGCTGAGACCCAGGACTACCGGCCCTCTCCCAGCTCAGGGGCAGGACTTCCTGTTTCTGGGCTGTTTCTCTGTGCCTGGTTCAGCACAATAGAGCTGGTAGCTTTCCACTGGGCTCAGCAGTGTCTAGGTCTTGTGTGGGTTAGCAGGGAAGTGTGTATTGCTGGGGAGGAGCATCCCTGAGAATCCAAAACAGGACATAAGTCAGCTCTCAGAAGAGCTGGGCTCCAGGCCACCCCTTGAGGGATGATCTTGTCTTCTTGAGTCATGGGTGGTGGGAGTGTGCTGCTGCTTTTGTATCAAAGGGAAGTGTCCTGGCACAATGTGAGGTCAGCCACCCTTCTCCCTCTCTACCCTTCCATCGCACTGAACGGATCCCCGGGAAAGCAGGAGACAGGTTAAAAACAGAAGCGCGACCATTTCTTTATTAAATTATACAAAAAAAGGAGGGGAGGGGGGCAGCTGTGGGGCTCGGCCCCAACCCCGGCCCCACCCAGGCCTGGCGCTGTCTGAGAAGAGGGGATCTGAGGGAGATCCAGGGGTCAGGCAGGATAGGAATGGGGCAGGCCATGAGGCTGGGGGATGCAGAGGTTAGGTGGGAGAGGCTACCAGAGGAAGGACAGGGCTGGGAGGGGAGGGAGAAGAGCAAAGAGAGAGAGGAGCAATTGGGGGCCAGCTGGGGAGCTCAGATGGAGCAGGTCAGGAGGTGGAACAATGGCAGAGTGAGGGTGGAGGGGCAGTGTCTGGGAGGCGGAAATGAGAAGGCTGGGGAGAAAGAAGAGGGTGGCAGCTCTGGTGCGGGGCCCAGAGCAGGGAGCCAGGTGAAGAGTGGCTGGACTTGTCTGCCCCCACCCCCACCTCCAGGCCCAAAGAGGCCTCCCACCCCCAGCCTGCTGGCAGGGGCTCACGCCGATGCCCCATTTTCTGTCTTCTGCCGCTTGGGATCCGCTTCATCCTGTGGAGAGGGAGAGAATAGGGGAGCTGTAAAATGGGAGGGCAGACCTCCCCTTGTCCCGGTCCTGTTCCAGCCCCCACCCCTGCCGCACAGGGACCTGGGTCCAAGTCCAAAGGGCGCCCGGCCCAGCTGCATCCCTGACAGCCCCTCAGGCCCAGCAACCCAGCCCAAACCTCCTCTTCGGCAGCTCTCTTCAGCGTGGGCCCTTCGTCATCCTCTTCTTCTTCTTCCTCATCTGAGGAGCCAGAAATGGGTCATTGGGGAAGGGCAGGAAGCTCCGGCAGAGACCCCCTGTGGTCGCCCTCAGCCCTGCCTCAGGTCTTCAAACCCACCCTGACTCTGCTCCTTTGAGCCTGGACTTTGCCAGCCTGGCCTCCCCTGCCCCTCCCCACCTTCTTCTTCCCCTTCATCTTCCTCCTCTCCATCCTCAGCAGTTTCTTCTTCTTCCTCCTCAGCCCCGTTCTCCTCCTCCTGTGGGGACCAGGAGAGGGAGCAACCTCAGGCTGGCTTCATGCCTCGCCCACCATCACCACCAATGGGAGGGGGCATTGGGTGTTAAAAGGGCTTGGGAGGGGCCTCAGGGTGGGGCAGCAAAGATGGGAAGGCTGGGGTGAAGGGCAGGACCCAGCAGTCTCAGAAGGAAAGTGGAGGAAAGATGAGATGATTGGAAGGAAGATGGTGGGGCAGGTGTGCTCCTCCCCCCCACCCCTCCACACCTCCACCACTTCTTTCTTTCGCTCTTTCCGGCTTGCCTTCTCCTCCACCTTCTCCTTCTTCTCCTTCAGGTCCTGAAAGGAAGAAAGAGGTCACCTTTCTCACCACAAATGGCTTGCAGCCCCTAAGTCCCTGCAGCCCCAGTTCTCCTTCTGCAGTGAGCTTAGAGGTGTGTGAAATGAAGGTAGACACAGCTTAGAGACAGACGGGCCCCAGGGTCCTTATATTAGGGCCACCAAGAGGTTGAGACCAAACACCTCCTTTCTGAAGACCCAAGGTGGGCTGAGGAAGGGATGAAGGGGGAGCAGGCAACTAGGGTAATGATCCCCACCCCCATCAAGTTCTCCCAAACCTCACTGGCTGAAGAGTTCAGCTCAGCAAAGCAAATCCTCTCCATCTGCTTGCAGCCTCAATGCCCCACCCCCTCCCGCATCCCTCCGCCTCCTTTGCCTGCCCCCCCCACTGCCGGCCAGGCTCTGCCTTTTGTCTACCTCTGGGGCCTTTTCCTGAGGACTCTCTCTCCAGGGCATCCCTCCCAGCTTCCCCTTCAGCTTCTAAGGTCTTTGTTTCTCTCTCGGTCTGTGTCTCCCTAATCCTCAGGTCCCTACTTGGCCAAACACTACTGGAGATGGAGAGCACCTTAGCACATTCCCAGCACCCCCCCCCCACTTTCTGCCCTCCCCACCCCAAAACAGTTCAACTAGTTCCCTCCTCCCTGCCTCCCACAGTGTATGCATGGGTGTAGTGGAAGAGTGGAGGTAGCCATTTCCAGTGGAAATGTAGGTGAAGTAGGACAGAAAACAAGGAAGCGAAGAGTAGCAGGCGTGGGAGACAAGGAGAGAGCAGCAAACAAGGTCTGTGACTGGGGTGGGACAGGAATGGAGAAGAGGGAGGGACCTGCCTCATAGACCCTCCCACCAGCCGGCCTCTCTCCTTCACCCCAAGATCCTAGCAGGCATAGGTTGATGTCCTGTTCTGATATGGCAGCAGGAGATGCCCATGTGAGTCCCTTCTGGACACTACACTAGCCTCCCAATTCAGATTCCAGTCCTCTCCCCACCCACTTCTTGGCAGGCACAGTGTAACACGGTAGGTGTCCTTGTGTGATCTGATCTGGTGTTGGTGTGCCATGCTGTGTATCTGATTCCATGTGAATGGGAGTCTCCTGTGTGAGTGGATCACCCTAGGAGAGGGTCCTTTCTGGAACAGAAGAGGGGATAGGAGAGGGGTTTGGTACAGAACGGTTGGCCTGGGGGGCACCCAATTCCCTTTTCCCTTTAAGGGTAGCTCAGAACACTTTACCCTCAGTCTAGCGAGGTTGCCCTTCCACCCCGCCATGAGGTCTTCATTTCTGTGCCACAAGGTCAGTATGGCATTTCCACCACCTCGGGGGCTTTTCCCTACATCTTGGGCCAGGAGAGCAAGGAGCTGGTCAACTTTTCTCTGGGCCCCAGCACCAAGTCTGTATGGCCCTGGCCTGACTTTCCCATCTGGGCTTATGGAAGGAGGCAGGGAGGGAGAATACCAGAGACCAAAGTTCAAGGGGCCGGGCCCTCTCCTCCCCTGTTCTGTCCTTCTGGTCACTGTCCTTCCATGATCCCTTTTCCAGGAGAATATGTGACCTGGGCCCCAGGTCTTCTGCTAAGCGGCCCTCTGGCCTCATTTACTCAACACAGGCACACACACCAACACCGGCCGACAGCGATGCACAGACACAGCTAGAGAGGAGCACCCACGCGATGGGAGACACATGGCCCAACCTTGGGCCATTCTGGTACACACTCTTGAGACAGCACGGGAGCACAGCAGAACCACTCAGCACTCACAAAGCGACAACATGGCTCCAGAACATCTTCGTCTCCACATGCACACATGTAACTGACACGGGCAGTCCCACACACTCGCTGGATTTCAGACATACAAAGACACCTACTCAGTGAAGTCACATGCCACCGCACAGCCCGCCGGAGGGCCACACGGGCGCACCTTGGCAGACAGACAGCACACATAGCCCCTCTCCCACCGCCGTTAATCCCACTGGCTCCCCCCGTTTCACTTCGCAGGCCTCAGGGAGACCTGTGTGACGGCTCCTCAGCAACCTCCCACCCCCATACACACACACACACACACACACACACACACACACTCAAGGCTCCCAGCCCCCAAACCCCGGCCGAATTAATTTCCCAAAGCGACACTCTGCATGTTCCCTGGGGAAATTAGAGGAAGGCTGGAAGAGAGGCAAGGGCGAACGGTTGGGGCAGGGGAAGGGAGCTGATGAAGGCGAGGACAGCTCGACGCAACGCCATGCAATGCCCAGCCTCGGCTTTTTCGAAGGCTGCTCCCGTCCCGCTTCTAATTTTTAGGAATTCGAGATTCTTTCAGTGTGTATGTGGGAAGGGGACGATGAAGAGAAAAGAAAGCTGAAAGCCAGCGGAGGGGAAGGAATGAGAAAACAGAAGCGGCCGCCGTCCGGGGAGAGAAGCGAGCGACGGTCGGGCCGCGGGGAGGGGCCGGGAGGAGCAGCCTCCAGGGAGAGTCCTGTTTACACTTGAGGATCTCAAACCGCTTAGCGAGGAAAGGTGAGGTCAGGCTGCAAGGAGAGATGGGCCAGCGGGGCGCAGGGAGGGGGCGCGACAAAGTGAGACTCGGGGCGCTCGGACGGAAAGCCGGCCGGGACCCGGCGGGCCGGCGAGGTGGGGCCGGAGAGGGGTGGGGACGGCTGCGGGGGCAGGCGCCACCGGAGCGGCGAGGCCGGGCGCCGCGGCGCGGTGCGCGCAGGGCAGCTAGAGGGCGCTGGCGCTGACCGCGCGGAGCCGGGTAGGCAGCGCCCGGCCGGGGAGCGGTGGGAGGGCGCAGTGGGGTCCGCTAGGACCCGGGCGCGAGGGCCGCGCGGGGCCGTCGGGGTCGGCCTGGGGCGGAGGACCGCGCCGGGCCCCGGGGCCGCGCAGGGTCCGGGCCGCCGCCGCCCCCGCCCATACCTTGGCGCTCAACTCGGCCGCTGCCTCCACGCTTTTCTCCGACATGGTGCCGGGGCCGGGGCCGGGGCTGGCGGGAAGCCGGGGTCCCGGGGCCAAGACGGAGGGGCCCTGGACGGCGGAAGGTGGCCGCGGCCGGAACCTGGCGCGGTGGCGGCGGCGGCGGCGACAGCGGCAGCGGTGGCCGCTCGGCAAGCTGGGTCTCTGGAAGAGGCGGCAGAGGCGCGTGGGGTGGGGCGGGGGTGGGTCTGGAGCGGAGACCCGCAGGGCTGCGGCCGTCCGGAGGGCGGGCGGAAGGGCGGTGCAGGCGGTGGCCGGCGCGCTCGGCCGCGGTCGCTCGGTCCCGGGCTCGCCGCCCCCGCACCAGCAGAGCTGCCGCCGACCAGCCGCTGCCGCCCCCGGGAAGGGAACCCGCTTATAAGGCGGCGCTGCCCGACGGGTGGGGCTTCCCAGGGGTGGGGCAGGCGAGAGCGGGGAGGAGAGGAGAGGGGAGGGGGATGAAAGAGGAGGTTGGAGAGGTGGGGATAGGAGGATGAAAGCGAGGGGAGGGAGTGCGAGAGAGTCGGGAGGGAGGACGAGACCAGGAGGGGGAAATGGAGAGACTGACGGCCGCGGAGAAAGAGTGGGGCGAGGAGGTGGAAAGGGGTGGGGTTCCTGCGGGGAGGCACCTCTCCAAATCCCAACCTACTGCCTGCGAATGTAGAGTCTGGCTTTTGGGGGCGGACCGGAGAGGTGGCCAGAATCCTACTGACCCCAAAAAAAGCCCTGGGATTTTGCCAAGGGGTGGGGTGAGGGGAGCAGATGGAAAGGCAGGGCAGGTATTTGAGAAACCAAAAGCTTAAAGAAGATGAAGAGGGTTCAGGCGCTCCTTTCACACCTCGCCGGATTTCCCTCTCTCATCCTCCATCCACATTGGGTGGCCTTGAGGAGGGATGGGAGGGCTGAAAGGGCGGCCCAGCCTTCTCTCCCGCCGGATTGACACTTGTGACCCTTGCCCGGTGCCTCCCTTCCTGGCCCCGTGCTGTCAGGTTGGGGCGGAGTCAGGCCCCCTGGTCTCCTTTGCTCTCTTCCACCTCTCCCCTATCTTCTACCTCTCTTATTCGTCTGTCTCACCTCCCTTTCATTCTCCTGGTCCTTCTATTTGCCTTCATCCGTTCTCCGTCATTTGTACCCAGACCCCTCCTTCACAACCAATTATAACTCCTATCGCTCCCATCCTTCTCTCTCCTCTTCACTCCTCCCTGACCCTCTTCTGCCCTTTCACCTCTGGTCCCTATCTTTCCCAGACAACCCTGCTCTTGTCTTATCTGAGTCGGGCACCTGGCCCTCTATTCTTGGCTGGCTTTCCTCAACTCCTCTTTCTGTCCTCATTTTTTACATTTTCCGTCCCTTAGTTTTTCTCATTCCTCTGCTGCCATCTTCCCTAGCCTTTCTGGGTTATACTTGTCTCCTTTGCAAGTATAATACAGATCCAGGTCTGGAGTTCCAGCCCCACCCTATTCCAGACGTCCTCAGCTCCTCACCCTCCATCTTGGTATCTTTGAGTCATTTTGAAAAGCTTGGGATTTCAGAAGGGAACAGGGGCTGGGTTGTGTATTAAAGGTCAGGAGAAGGTAGATGGGGTGGAAGGCTTGGGTTTGGAGAAAGACCTTTGGTGTGCGTGCACTCCCATATTTGTCTGTCATTATCATTATTTCTCATCTTTTTATTTCATTTTATTAATAAAAAACACGTTGATAATTATCATTATTTTGTTTGTGTGCTTAAATACACCATCTCTTGGTCCCTTGGTGTACACGCCTTCCAGTTTCTCTTTCTGACTTTTCTATCAAGATTTCAGTCTCAGTCTACTCCAAAATCTTGGGGCCCCACCCAGGATTTTTCCTTGACGGACTCTGTTCATCTTTTCTGAGATCTTTCCATGTCCCTCTCTCTGTTTCTCTGACTCACTGGCTGATGTCTTCAGCGGTCTCTCACCATCTCCATCTCTGTACTCCTCTTGCTTCATTTATCTCCCTCTCCTCGAGCCTTTGCTACCCGCCACCCGCCCCCCCCAATCTCCCAGTCTCGCTCCCTCCCCATCAGGCTCTTTCCTCTCCCTCCCGCCTTCCTTTCCTCTTCCCTCCACTCCACCTCCCAGTCCCGCCTGCTGTCTCGGACACCCTGCTGGGCTCTTACCCTGTTGCCCTGGTAACCGCCCCCCACTCCGGTCACCTCTACTCCCCTCCCCCCCTCCAATCACCGCCACCAACAACCTCCATCCACCTTCCTCCAATTTTTCCTGAGAGCCAATAGAAACCCTGTTGCCAGGTGGAATGCTCATTTGAATCAGCCAATCCCGAAGCCTAACTGCTTGCCCTGCCTTATATGGGGATGTGAGGAGGGCCACTCCCCCTACTCCAGCCCCACAGGGGACCGGCCCCTCCAGTGTCCCTTCTCCCCGCCCTAAAGAGAGGCTGGGACCCTCCCTATCACCCTTCCATAAGGGGCCTGTCCTCCCACTTCTCTAACTGGGACCACCAGAGTTAGCGTGGGCTGTGGGCCGGACTGTGGGCTGGGCCTCAGGGCTGGGGGTGGGAATGAGGTGTGATTAGGGAAGGGGAGGGGAGGGAGCCGGGAATTTTGCCCGGGGAGGGGTGTCTGGGAGCAGAGGCAGCTGCAGTGGAAAATTCCAGAGAGATGGAGAGGCAGAGAATGGGACTCCTGCCCCAAAGCCCAAGGGAGCGCCTTGAGAATCTAAGAGTTTGGACACTAGGGTCCTAGGCACCCCAGAGAAAAGATCTAGGAAGCTGGAGGCCCGAATCTAATTACTTTCCTGCGTGGAGGAGGCATCCTTTAGCCTTCTCTCTCTGGTTGGACAACAAAACCAGTCTTTCTGAAGTCTTGGTTTCATGAGAAAGAAGCTGGAAGCGAGACTTGGGATGAATTTGGAGTGAGTGGGATCTGAAAGCCACCTGACAGTCCTAGGGGTTAGCCTCAGATCCTCTGGGGCCAGTGGTGTCGAATGCCTGTGTTCGCTCTTTTCCATGGAACTATTTCTGAGGCTTTGTGGAGGCTTGCCTATTCCTAGAATTATCTTACTCTACGGTCCAATTGAGAATTTCTCCCACTAGTTGAATGGGGGAAACATGTGCTTTTTACACATTTTCTGCAAGTGGGAAAAAGGTGACCAGGTGAAAACAAGGAAGGCCTGAGCCCCCTGGAAACGATGATTTCTGGCCTGACATCCTAGACGTTTACCTTGATACTATGTGTGGGAGGTGTTCAATTCTAGTTATTTCCGTCTCATTCTCAGTGAATTCTTCCCCCTCTCCAGCTGGATTTTTTCCAGTGTGCCTATTTATCTTATTGGTTAAGGGGTAAAGAAGGCCCAGTTATCATTCAAGGGCTTGAAAGACAGAAACCTGAGAGTTAGGGGACTAACTCCACTCCTCGTTTTACCTTTTTATCTGCATTCCATTCCCAGTGATCTCATTTTCTATCCGCTATTCCCCCATTTTTCCTTTGCTTTTTTTTCAATTTAAAACTTTTCAAAATGAAAGTCAGTGGAGAGTTGAGAGGAAGTGGACTCCTAGAGGAAATCCTAAACTTGCCTAACTTCAATCATGTTGTTATTATTGTTGTTTTGAGATGGAGTCTCGCTCTGTCACCCAGGCTGGAGTGCAGTGGCACAATCTCGGCTCACTACCACCTCTGCCTCCTGGGTTCAAGCAATTCTCATGCCTCAGTCTCCCAAACAGCTGGGATTACAGGCACGCGCCACTACGCCGAGCTAATTTTGTATTTTTAGTGGGGATGCGGTTTTACAATGTTGGTCATACTGGTCTTGAACTCCTGACCTCAGGTGATCTGCCCACCTCGGCCTCCCAAAGTGCTGGGAGTACAGGCGCAAGTCACCACGCCCAGCCAGATCTTGTTTATTCTGAGTGTGTTACCTCCAAGAGTGTTAGAAAAATAAGGCAAGATCATCTTCCAGGCAGCACTAAGGCACATCCATCGTGCATCCCATCTTGGTGGGTACTCCTTTTCTGGAATGCCTCCCTGATTCCTCCTGACTTTGCAGACCCTTATCCATTTTTCCCATGTTATTCTCAACACCAAACTGCCTTCCTTGGTCTTCCACCCATACTGATGTTCCTATGGCATAGTATCTACCCCAGGCACAAACAAGAAAGCTCAATAAATCATGTATTTCCTGGCCCAGAGCACGATTTTGGATTTAATCTCTCAGCTCTTTCAACCTTCTTCAAGGAGGCTGGGAAAACACAACATGGTGCCTGGATACTGGCTTCCCTCTGTCTGACTTGAGATCGTCCCATAACGACTGCTGTCCTGGTTGGAAGTCTCTTTTATGTTTTATGTTTTGAACATCACAACCAAAGTTTCTGTGGCCTTCCTGCTTTTCTCCATGAGCTTTCTCCCCAGTGAAAGAATGGGTTTCACCTTTGTACCTCTTCTTCAGATCCTCTCTTTTTTTTTTTTTGAGACAGGGTCTCACTCTCACCCAGGCTGGAGCACAATCTCAGGTCACTGCAACCTCTGTCTCCAGGGGCTCAATTGATCCTCCCACCTCAGCCCCAGTAGCTAGGACTAGAGGCGCCCACCACACCTGGCTAATTTTTATTTTTATTTACCTAGAGATGGGGTTTCACCAGTAATCCTTAAGCAGAAAGGGAGCAACTCTGCCGTGTTTCAGGTCATCCGGGCCACTGTTGTCATATATTTTACCACAG